GCACTACACGAGGGCTAACAGGTAACTTTCACAACAGTTCTTAGAGATGGGTCTTGTCTTCCCAATTTTACAGAGGAGGAATCAATATCGTAGTTGACAGTGTTAGTTTAGTTGAGTTGTTGTTGTCGTTTCAACAAGCTAAATCACCTCTTCCCATGCTTAGGGGTATTTGGGGAGGTCCCCATCTTAAGAGTCTTGGAGAGAGATGGAATCTACCTCCCAGAAGTTGAAAAGACCAGATACTTGCTTTCCCAGCCTCTCTTGCTGCGAAAGCAAGAGCACATAACCTAGCCTTGACCAATCATATGCACGAGCCATGGACTTTGAATTTGGAGCAGAAACACCATGGCAATATCCAGTGTCCTTTGGGGCAATACAGGGTCCTCACAGGACAGCTGTGGCAGGGTTCTGACGATAGTTCTGGCTAGTGTGCCTCTCTTGGTATCTGCTTGTTTTATAAGCTAGTTTCTCAGATACCCTGGAGATTCTATGAGCTCCCTAATATCCCTTCAACAAATCTGTTTCCTGCTAGAATCATTCAGAGTTGGGTCCTTTTGTTTGCAACTAAGAATTCAGGCCAGGACTTCCCTGGTGGTGCAGTGGTTGAGAATCTGCCTGCTAATGCAGGGGATATGGGTTCGAGCCCTGGTCTGGGAGGATCCCACATGCCGCGGAGCAACCGGGCCCGTGAGCCACAACTACTGAGCCTGTGCGTCTGGAGCCTGTGCTCCGCAACAAGAGAGCACGTGATAGTGAGAGGCCCGCGCACCACGATGAAGAGTGGCCCCCGCTTGCCACAACTAGAGAAAGCCTTCGCACAGAAACGAAGACCCAACACAGCAAAAATAAATTAATTAATTAAAACAAAAAAAGAATTCAGGCCGATTCAGCCTTGGAGATGACAAGCAAGGTCATCAGGGATTTGGACGTGGGTCAGTCTAAAGGCAGAGCCCGTGCTGCCTCCAGTATTCCCACACTGCTCTGAGGGGGACACTGGAAAAACTCTGATCCCATTTCACAGATGAGGTATAGAGAGGAGAGATAACCACCCAGACTGGAAGCAACTGGAAGCCAGGTCTGGGCTGCAAGCTCCTGGTTCTCTCTAATGTAGCACAACTCACCTTCTGCCTCAGCGCTCTCCACCACCACTTCCCGACATAAAACTCTTGTTCTGAACTAACTGAGGAGCCCACCGTAGAGGGAATGAGACCCTGAACACGAATAGAAAGAAGTAGGAGCTTCTCAGACAAACAGAGAGGTGGCGGCTCTCTTTTTAGAACAAGATTCAAATCTGTGATCACCGCCAGTTCCTGGGAAACTGGAGAGGGAATGAGTCTGGGGGGTGGAGGATGGTCTCCGTCCTGGGAGCAGACAGGGAGGACAGATGAGAGGCAGCAACAGTCATCCAGGAGTAACACTGAACTGCTCTGATCCTGTTTTCATATGTGCAAAATCGGGATAACACTACTCCCTGCACAGGTCTGTCTGAGAGAATCAGCAGTAGGAATTTTAGCAACAACCTATAGCACTGAAAATGAGCCACACACTGTTTTAAGGGCTTTTCCTATAAGAATTCGTTCAATCTTCACCAAAGTGTGGATACTTTTGTGACCTCTGTTTTCCTGATGAGAAAGTGGGGCACAGAAATGTTAAGTGACTTGTCTAATTACAGCAAGTAATTGGGACAGCTGGGATCTGAACCCCGGTATTCCAGCTCCAAAATCAGAGACCTTCAGTATTGTGCTAATCAAGTATTATAATGGAGGCAATAGAGCTCTGTGACTGTGAACTGTTTCACACATATTAGCAAACAATTTACTTGGTGCCAGGATAGAAGAGAGTCTCTGAGTAAGGAGACATGTATCTGTCTTGCAGCCCTGCACCCAGAACCATGTTTAGCCTTACAATAGGCAGAGAAAGTGTTAGTGGAATGAATGAATGAATGAATGAACGAACAAGCACATAAGATGAGGATTCAGACAGCAGCAAGGAGATGGAGAGGAAAGAGCCATTTGGAACCAAGAGAGAGTAGAATATAGAAACGTGTCTCTAAATGGGATCCTGTGATGTAGGCTTGAAAAGCCCTGAGCCAAGTTTCCAAAGGAAACTTGCAAATCGCTTCGATATATCTGTTGTATTAAAAAAAAAAAAAAAACAGCACTCCATAAGTGTTCAGTTCTTCCATGACTTCATGTTTTGAGGAGGCACACAGTGTAGAGTTGTGTGCACATCTGGTTGTTCATAAGCACAGACAGAGGTGTGCATAGGGTTCTGTGTATAAACAGAATTCCACAGATGTGTCCAGCTTTTGGTGTGCATAGTTGTGCAAGGACATAATTTCACACAGTATACAATCGGACCTATCAGTGAACGTCTGCAGGATTGGGTGCATACGCCCATGTGCACACAGTTGATGATGGGCTAACACTAATCTGAACTCACTATGTGACAGGCTCTCTCTTAAGCACGCTGCAAGTAACATCACATTTAATTCTCTCAGTGGATATAGAGGCACCCAGTTATGCACGTGCATGTGTGCACGGCTCTGTCTGAGCTGCACACACACAGATTTCTCCCGGGTAAGCACAGGTTCAGGCTGGCTGTCAGTTTTCTGCTGCTTAACTCAAGCTATATGAATAACGCCAGGAAGGCACACTTTCCTGGGCTGGAAGGAGTAACAATGAATTAAAACATAGATCATAAAGTCCTTTCAAAATACCATCCACTAAAGAAACAGCAGACACCCAGCCTGCGTTTGCTTGCTGTGTAAACACATTCCTACCACCCCACTCACTTAAATAAGGCTCACTCCACTTTGGCAACCCCGCAAACACATTTTTTTACAGTTTCTTTTTCAAAAACAAGATTGCTCCCACGGCAACTGTTTCCAAGCACATTCCCTCATTCTGGGAAAGGGAAGGAAAAAGCAAGAGAAAGCCTCTTGTTACTATACAGGGAACACAGAACAGGGGCAGGGAGAGAGGAGAAGTGGGGAACAGGCTGAGAAGCCAATGAGAAAGTAAGATGTATTTCCCCCAAATGAAACTGGCCAAATGCCCCCTGACCCAGCGATATATCCCCAGGACCCAGTAACTGTTACCAGTAACTGTTAGTTCTTTCAAGGGCTGTGGTCTGGGTACCCAACTAGGATCGTCCTCTACCCCACTGTGTGTGTGTGTGTGTGTGTGTGTGTGTGTGTGTGTGTGTGTGTGT